CGGGCCGGGCTAACCCGGGCCCCGCCGCCCGCTGCCGTGGGCCGGGCCCCGTCCCGCCCCGGGCCGGGCTGGGCTGGGCTGGGCTGCCCTCGCTGTGGGACCCGAACTGCTGCTCTCCGTGGGGCTGGAGTACAGTCCCAGCCCAGCGGTGGGTCCAGCCTTACACCTCATCCAGGAGCTGGATGCCCCATCTCTACTGTCCAATCTGCAACTTGCTGTGGGGCTGGGGTCCCCTCCCCTACGTGGGACCTGCTGTGGCCTTGTTGAGGTGCTGAGCCCATATCCCCACTCTGGGGCTTGCCCTATACCCCACTGTGGGGACGGGCCCTATCCCTGGTCTGGCGTTGTGCCTCATTCCCCTGTGGGGCCAGGGCTGCACCTCACCATGGGGTCAACTCCCCACGTCCACTTTGAGACTCAACCCACAACCTGCCATGGGGCCAGACCTGCATCCCACTGGACCCCTGCCATAGTTTTGGAACAGTTGCACAGTTCCCACTGTGGGGCCAGACCTTTGTCCCAGTGATGGGACTGGACCCTCAGCCCGGTTGTGGGGCCAGAGCTGCACCCTCCTCGCAGCGGGGGACCCGCAGCCCTGTGAGGTGCACCTGGGCCTCGTGGTTGTGCTTCCCGGGGGACAGGACAAGTGTTGGAAGTCCCTGTTAGCAGCGGCCCCTTCCCTGGCCTCTGCACGGCCACGGCGCACTGCCTGGTTCAGGTTCCGGCACCGGCTGTTCAGAGGGAATCGCAGGTTTATCCCCTCCTCTGCTAATCAAATACCAGATCAGCTAGTCACTACCTGTACATGTGCCAAGGAACAGCTTCGCCCGCACCAGAGACAAAGCCCAGCAAGTCCGGGGCAGGCGGGTTCGCGCGGAAACTTCCAGTGCGAGCATCGTAAAATGAAACGGCAGCCTGCGAGACGGGCCGGTCCCGCCGAGGCGCGCTCAGCGCAGGCGCCTGGGTGTTGTGTGACCTGCTTTGCACGACATCCCGGGTACGGTCCGGGGCCAAACTGCATCCCTGTAGCACGAGATTAAAATTTACCTCCACGCGAGGCGTGTGCGTGGGAAAGGTTGTCTGTCCTCTGCCAATAAAACATGCTGCCAGTGTCTTGCAGCCTGCGTTCTGGCAACCATGACTCACTCGGATTTTTCCCTTCCCATTTATGATTTTTTTTTCTTGTTCTTCATTTGCAATGAATTGTGAATGATCAAATTGTGCCCGTTTTTGGCATATCTTAGTGCTCTGTTCCACAGGCAAACTCAGTACCAGGTCGTATGCAGCGAGACTGAGAGCCTGGCCTCAGAAGTAACAACAAGAAATTCTACTCCAAGTTCGGAGGGAAAGGAGCACAATCGGGAGCAGAAATATTAGTGACTTCTGCCTCGTGACTTGGAGATCACATTTAGGGACAGGATCTCCCCAATTCAGAAAAATAAGAGGCATGTGAGTCAGAGGAGACTGGCTCCAGCTGTGCCTGTTCTCTCTTGTCCAACCAGTCCCACTCCTAGCCCTGCTGGAACGACGTGTGATGAGCTTACGTTATTACCCACTCTCCTCAGGTAGCCTCCAGATGCCGCTAGATTTTCCCTTTTGATAGCAACTCCTAAAGTCTATAAAAAACAAACAGCGAGGATCTCCAAGGGAAGAAAGTAGCATTGCAGCTCCGTTAAGCCTCGAAGCGATGCTTCCCGAAGCCAGGACATGCTCACTGCGACCAAGGGGTCCTGCTGGTGGGAAACGCAGCACTCCTCTGGGCGGCTCAGCAGCGAGGCTCTGCTCACCGGCTCCGTGGGTGGTCACGCATCCAAGAATTAGTTTTCTCATGTCTAATATTTAGGCAGTCTGTCAGAAGTAAAAGTGATGGGAGGGATTTCCAAAAATACAGTGGTAAATCCATTACTATAGAAAGAACATTTAGGGAGTATGTTACTACCACACCTACAAGTCAGACCCTGTAACAAAAAAGAACAAAAACAAGAACAAAAATTTTCTCCACATACTTTATTTCTATTGCTAATTACTGTTGTCTATCAGCACACCTTATAAATTCTCATATATAAATATATATATATGTATGTGTATATATTGTACTTTCCTGTCAGATCTTTTTCTCTCTTTCTCACTTTCCTGAGGCCATGATACAGATTTTTGTAAAGATAAAGCCTGCATCTGACCCTGCAGCATTCCTCCTCGCTGCCCTGTACTCTGTTACTTTGGATCATCCCTCCCGTTTG